TCCTCTATTTTACTCCGACTATTTGTTACATTTATTCCAGGATTCATTCTAAGAATTTAGGAAACTATTATTTTGTTTAAGGATAAGATGATAAAAAGTGCGGGTTTTCCACTTTCAAAGGGGTCCTGTGCCCCTAAGATAAGCTAAAAAATGTGGAGGGATGAGTGTATTTTGGAGAATTATGAGCAAGACATACCCTCCAGCTGTCCCAATTTGGCAGGGACAAACCAAATTAATTCTCCATTCCCCTAATTTTCAGATGCTTTTAAAATGTCCCAAATTATCTCTCCTCCTCCCCTTTTCCTCTTTTTTTTCCTCAGCTTGCTTCTCTTGCTGCAAACTGATCTCAAAGTGCAAAAGTAGTCTGGACTCTATTAACTCAGCAGAAAGAAAGAGTGGAGGGCATGTGGAAACTTCCCTTTTCCAGCAGGCTCAGGCAAAGGCAAACTGCTGCAGCCTCTCCTAATTTGTCTGTTCTTCCTCATTAGAAACTTTTGCCACGTTGACCACACTTGGATTAGTCACACAAGTCCTGGTTTTCATCGGAGAAATGTTGGAGAGTATGGCAAGATCCACACACCTCAGGGCCTGGCTCTTGTTTTCCAGTTCTCAGGAGGCAGGGAGGAATCTCAGTACAAGGGTACTGTCTTTTAAATTCTCTCTCTCTCTCTCTCTCTCTGTGTGTGTGTAAAATTTGTTACACAATTGGATTGGATTTTAACATTGAATGGAGTTTTAATACTGTGAGCCGCCTCGATTGTTTGACAGAGAGACGGGATACAAATAAATTTATTATTATTATTATTATTATTATTAGCCTTGTTTTTGTTTTTGTTTTTACTTGAATGGCATTTTCTGTGCACTTATGGCTGATGCCTAATGGATCCTACTTAAAGACATCCCCATGGGCTATCCCTTGTAAGACCATCTTTTTAACATCACTAGGGACGTTATCACATGTGGGCCAGAAAGGGATAATAAAGTGGAAATGAGCATTCCGAAAATAAACGGAAAATAAACCTTGATTCCGCAAATGGCTTTCACACGTAATTACCTTAATTGCGAAATTACAGTAAGCGCATTTAACGTTTACACACAAGTGAGAAAAGCCCGTAAATGTACTAGAAATGAGCTTCTTGCACATGCGCAGATAGAGGAATGCTCACTGGAACCATGGGAAAAGCAGGGAAATGCTCCCAAATGCGCATTTGCTTTTCACATTACCTTAATTTCGCATTTGCATTTCCTCCAAACAACCGAATTTCAAAAGATCTCAGATAACACCAGTTTCTGTCCACTTTCTGTGCGATGTCGTGTGAAAACGCGGGGCACAAATCCAGTTTCTGTTTGGGATTTGTGTGGATTAACCAGCAGATTTGCCCCCGTGTGATAATGTCCTAGGAGCCGATGGCATCATTAGGGTTGGTGTCACTCAATGAAGCAGCTCACAGGGCCTCCCCCATGGAGCTCCTGGGATGGGGGTGCACATGGGAAAAGGGTCTCAGCCTGGGGAACCCAGCATCTTGCCGCCGCCGTCCTCACCAGCTGAGACCGCAAAGATGGGACACCCCTCTAAGCAAGAACAGTGCGTTAATGACAAAGGCAAGTAGAAGTCACAGCAAACTGTTCACATGCTCCCAGAAGACAACAGTGGAAAGGAATCAAACAGATTGAGATGGGGAGGCTATGGGAGGGGGGACCCAAGAGAAAGGTCTATGGCTTCACCCCAATCTTCACCCACCAAAGGGGAACAGCATACCAAGAACTAAAAGTGCCACTGTATTCTGCTTTGGTCAGGCCTCACCTGGAATAATCCTG